TGGGCGGGGCTAGTACTTGCTAAGATAAGACTTATTTAGGCAGATGACATATCCTGGGAGAAAATAGGGGGCGGGTGGGCGTTCCTAGTAATTGTTAAGAGAAAACTAATTTTGCCTTATTAATCTTGCAAAAACCTACTTTAAATTTAACAAGTTTTTACAAGTTTAATAGGGACAAAATCAGTCTTATCTTAGCAAGTGGCAGCCCCGCCCACCCGCCTCCTATTTTTTCAGAATATATGGCATTTGCCAAAATCAGTCTTATTTTAGTAAGTATTAGCCCCGCCCACCCGCCCTCTATTTTCTCAGAGGGTATGGCGTTTGCCAAAATTACACTTATCTTAGCAAGTACTAGCAAGTACTACCTTCTGAGAAAAAAAAAAGAGCGGGTAAGCGGGGCTAGTACTTGCTAACGAAAGTCTTATTTTGGCAAATGATATATCCTGTGAGAAAACAGAGGGCGGGTGGGTGGGGCTAGTACTTGCTAAGATAAGACTTATTTCGGCAGATGACACGATGTGAGAAAATAGAGGAGGTGGGGGCCTAGTATTTGTAAAGATAAAACTAATTTTGTCCCTATTAATCTAGCAAAAACTTACTTTAAATTTAATAAGTTTTTACAAATTTAATAGGGGCAAAAATCAGTCTTATCTTAGCAAGTGGTAGCCCCGCCCACCCGCCCCCTATTTTTTCAAAGGGTATGGTATTTGCCAAAATCAGTTTTATCTAAGCAAGTGCTAGCCGCGCCTACCCGCCCCTAGTTTCTTAGAGGCTATGTCATTTGCCAAAATAAAACTTATCTTGGCAAGTACTAGCAAGTACTACCCTTTGAGAAGAAAAAAGGGCGGGTGGGCGGGGCTAGTACTTGCTAAGATAAGTCTTATTTTGGCAAATGACATATCCTGTGAGAAAACAAGGGGCGGGTGGGCGGGTTAAGTACTTAGACTGGTTTTGGCAAATGACATACACTCTAAGAAAAGAGAGGGTGGGTGGGCGGGGCTAGTACTTGCTAAGATAAGACTTATTTAGGCAGATGACATATCTTGTCAGAGAAAACTGATTTTGCCCCTAATAATCTTTTAAAAACTTGTGAAATTTATAAGTGTTAAATTGCAAATTTCCTTAATAACGAGTTAAATTCCTAAGTCTGCCCGAAATGTGCAAAATATGATGAGGTTTACTTGTGATTTACCATTGCATTAATATTTTTTAGATTTGCTTATACAGGTTGCTCAAAAAAATTAATGAATGCGTGAATTTGTTTTATTGATTTAATCAGGAACTGCAAAACCGAACCTTTTGAAATCTTGGAGATGTTTTAAAGTTATTAAAGTTATCAAAAACATCGTAAATTTTTGATCAAAATCTATTTGCTCATCGCCCCCTAAAAAATTGATGACGTTATCTCAAAATTTTGCATTTTTTTAAATGTGCAAAATATGATGAGTCTATACTTGTGATTTATTTTTAATATATAATTATTATTTTTTAAATTTGCTTATACAGGTGTCTCAGAAAAATTAATGACTGTGTTGTTAAAAAATAGATCTCCGATCAGAGTTAGGAATTTTACTCGTTACTATGCAATTTAACACCTTTTAAATTTAACAAGTTTTTACAAGTTTAATAGGGACCAAATCAGTCTTATCTTAGTAACGCCCACCCGCCCCCGATTTTTTCAGAATATATGACATTATTTGCCAAAATCAGTCTTATCTTAGCAAATACTAGCCCCGCCCACCCGCCCTCTATTTTCTCAGAGGGTATGGGGTTTGCCAAAATCAGTCTTATCGGAGCAAGTACTAGCCACTCCCACCCGCCCGTATTTTCTCAGAGGATATGTCATTTGTTAAAATAACACTTACCTTAGCAAATACTAGCAAGTAATACCCTCTGAGAACATAAAGGGCTGGTGGGCGGCACTAGTATTTGCTAACATAAGCCTTATTTTAGCAAATGACATATTCTGTGAGAAAATACGGGGCGGGTGGGCGGGGCTAGTATTTGTTAAGTAAGTTTTTACAAGTTTACTAGGAGCAAAATCAGTCTTATCTTAGCAACTGGTAGCCCTTCCCACTCGCCCCCTATTTTTTAGAAAGTATGGCATTTGCCAAAATAATTATCTTAACAAGCACTATCAAATACATACACCCTCTGAGAAAATAAAGGGTGGGTGGGCGGGGCTTGTACTTGCCAACATAAGTCTTATTTTGGCAAATGACATATCCTGTGAGAAAACGGGGGCGGGTGGGCGGGGTTAGTACTTAGTAAGATAAGACTGATTTTGGCAAATGATATACCCTCTAAGAAAAGAGAGGGTGGGTGGGTGGGTCTAGTATTTGCTAAGATAAAACTTATTTCGGAAAATGACGTATCCTCTGGGAAAATAGGGGGCGGGTGGGCGGGCCTAGTATTTGTTAAGATAAAACTGATTTTGCCCCTATTAATCTTGCAAAAACTTACTTTAAATTTAGCAAGTTTCTACAAGTTTAATAGAGGCAAAACCTTAGCAAGTGCTAGCCCCGCCCACCCGCCCCCTATTTTTTCAGAAGGTATGTCATTTGAAATAATAAGTTTTACTTGTGCAAGTACTAGCCCCGCCCACCCGCCCCTATTTTTCTCAGAGGATATGTCATCTGCCAAAATAACACTTATGTTAGCAAATACTAACAAGTACTAGCCTCTGAAAACATAAAGGGTGGGTGGGCGGGGCTAGTACTTGCTAAGATAACACTTATTTCGGCACATGACATATGCTGTGAGAAAACAGGGGGCGGGTGGGCGGGGTTAGTACTTGATAAGATATTACTGATTTTGGCAAATGACATACCCTCGAAGAAAAAAAAGGGTGGGTGGGTGGGACTAGTATTTGCTAAGAAAAGACTTATTTCGGCAGATGACCTATCCTGTGAGAAAATAGGGGGCGGGTGGGCGGGCCTAGTATTTGTTAAGATAAAACTAATATTGCCCCTATTAATCTTGTACAAACTTGTGAAATTTGAAGGTGTTACATTGCAAATTTCCACAGTAAAGAGTTAAATTTCTAAATCTACCCGAAATGTACAACATATGATGAGTTTTTACTTGCGATTTATCATTGCATTCATATTTTTTGGATTTGCTTATGCAGGTGGCTCAAAAAAATTAATGAATGTGTCAATTTATTTTATTGATTAAATCAGGAACATCTTACTCCATTCTCCCAGAAAATTTTCGGAATACAAGGAAACTGACTGACATTATGTTTATTCCATAATTATAATAATAACGCTTTCAGCAAAAAAAACAATAACGCAACATCTGTGAACGTCAACATAGCAACATTTGAATATCTTTCATTTTAGATGACCATATTATCATGTTAAGAAGCAGCATGAGATACTAAAGACATACTGACATTGAAAATACAGTATTTTGTGTGCAATATTGACTGAGAATTATATAATATATGCATTTACTTACAATTGGTTGTTCTTATAATTTATGAAAAATTCTACTGTAAGCACGTCTGAGTGAGTGCATGCATTTTTATGTTTAAAAAATATATTTGTACTTAGTGTCAATATTAATCCACATAAAAACAAGTAATATTCCTTATACATCTACAACTCAGTGAGAAACGTGCTTTGAAACGAGGATTAAACATATATTTGCACAGTTCACGTAATTTGGAAACAGCTATCTATATCTTGACTTAAGTCTTTAGCATCCTAATCGAGTGACTACAATATCAGTTCTTAAGTAAAATTAGTAATCATTGTAAGGTGTCTGTAAATGGGTATATGATACGACGTTCTATTAATTTTTGACAGACACACCGTTACTAGCATTTCTTGAAATTATTTTTTACCCAAATACTCAAAAATACTATTATGCTTGGTTCGTCCCCACAAAGAGAAATCTAAAACGAGTTTAGCACAGAATTGGTTAAGAAAGCAGCTAACCATAATATACATACATGAGCTCTTCATCATTTTAAGGGTGAGCTAAAGCATATTCCAGCCTAGGGAAATACATATAAACTTCTGTCCAAGTTTTTGCCAAAAGTATACGTCCGATTGCAATAAACTTCACACCGTTGAAATGAGCGTAAAAAACTCTACCCAGACTGATTGAAATATCTTAATAAATAATTGAGTTAACAGGGGCGGAATATTTAAAATTTGTGGTCAAACAAACTTTAGCCATTTTTTGGCCCACTCAAATCTATAACAGGTAACAGCTTCATTTTGGCGGCATTTTGCATTTGAGTGTAAGCAATGGGATGTAGTTTGAAATGGTCAATCGGCATGTAATTAAAAGACGCTTCAAAATGGATTCGATTTGTCATTCTCGATATGATTCACTAGTTTGCTGCATGGTAAAAATATCGTTATCACTCGTCATAGCGCTGGTGTGCGAATGTTCAACTCGTAGCTCGCTTGTATTGTCACCTTTTTTTTATTATTTACATAATGTAAACAAAAATTACAAATCAAGGGAAAAATATCGCTTGGCCAACATCTACCTTTTCAAACTTGTTTTCTTGGCAAATAAAAATGCTTGTCGCATGTGATTGGTTAAGTATCTGAAATAGAAATTTTGTTCCAGAAATACGTGTTGAACTTTGGTCAACCGTTGCATAATAAACCCAATCTGCGGAATCCCTCCGTGAGAATGGTCCTCCCAGAAGACGTGCACTTGAAACGCTCGATTAGTCTCAATCGCCTTTTACGAAGTTTAAAAAAAGACCGCGCTAAAATATTCATCGCTAATGAACGCTACATCTATGTTGTTTATTTCATTAAGCAAGGAGCTAAAATTTCTAATCAGCCTTGTCCTTGATAGTTGAACAATCATGTAGTTAAGTGCAATTAGTATATACGATTTTCTACTTACACAGCAACCAAAGTTTCACCAGGTAGGCCAAAACTCGAGCCGATCGACATATTTTTAGAAAATATAAAACAAATAAAGTCCGATACGGACTGACAAATAACAAGATAATGATGTAAAAATACCTTCATATAATCCCATATCAGCTAAGTTATTGTTCGATTTATTCTAGTTTAATAGTTTTTAACACTGCGCTGTCCACGTTGTAGCTCACTGAAAGTCCTGGTTGTTTCCAAAACAGTTCCGCCAAGTCTATATCGAGTAGGCACTGGTTTGAGAGCTGTCTTAGGTCACTAGATTACAGCGACACCATGATAAAAAACATTTTGAGAGGCGTGTGCTCCGCTTCGGATTTAAAAGTATTCTGCCAAGTCACCGCACCGCCGCCGCTCCACACACTCACCGTAAACTGCGTATAAACGTTAGCTTGTCGTTCGTATATTACGAAGTGTGTACGATGTGGGTTCGCATTATTTTATTAGGTATTGGGACGTTCGAATGGGACGAGACACCGGTTTTGTTCGCTTATCACTGAAATTATGACGTCGGTTCGAATCGACCAATGACAATTCGCTGTGTGAGTTGGAAAAATATTAAAAATAGGTTTGAGCGGGGGAGAGAGAGTACAACCTAGTCATTATGTAGATTCATTTAAATAATTGCAGGCGTTAAATACCACTGCCGTTGATTAACTTTTTCACTGTACGGCTTTATAACTTGATGTATTGTGCACAAATTTTTCTATACAAAAAAAAAAGGTAACTTTATAATAATTTCATAATATTTATTTTAAAACGCTCAGTATTGGTGTAAATGATGTTGCATGACGAATGTGAGTTATATTCTGGTTATAGTTTAATTAATTGACATTTCAAAGTGATAGCAGAGAACATGGAGAAGCGTCATAGTACTAGAAAAAATGTCATAATATTTTTAATGACGCGTTTTACTTTCGACAAATTGACACTAGATTTACCAGAATATTACAAGCTGCTTACTGTAATATAGATGTATCTTACATCAAACTGCAGCTTTTTTCATATTCTAGAGCGCAGAGACCAGTTCAATCAATTAAAAAAATATGGCTGAGAAATATCGTAAAAAAATTGGTCTAAAGAGTTTAGACAGTACTTCCCTCGCTGTCGGAAACTTGACGACTGCATGCCTATTGTGTTTTTTTTTCTCATTACATTTTTGTAGTGGGAATTTAAAAAAAAATTGCGATGACGTCATCAACATTTTTGCAAGGACACGTATATCAGTTGGGATAGATGTAGTGTAATACTAAGAATAAAATTATTACATTCTCAAATTTTCGGGAAAATGAATTGGGTCGTTTTGAATATTGATTTTTTATAATCAATAAAATAACGAAACAATTTACTCACGTATACGTATCAGAGGCAACTGAAAATCGTGTATGTATAAACATTCTTAATTTAAGATGACAGGCGTAACAGCATACGTGAGAGTCAAACAGAGAAACTGTAAACAAAACGACCATCGGTTTTATTGCTTCGACTTCCGCTTATTATATAAAACATTGGGTTTTATTTTAATTCTTGACGGTGAAATTCACAATTGGTTGATTATAAACATGTCTATTTCACATTCGCGGAACCAAGTGAGCGCATAAAACAAATGCAGGTCTGTAATGTTAAAGTCGATGTAAATAAGCGTGCTACCCTTATGTTTCAACCGAGTTTTTCCTTTAACAAATTTTGTGTCTACCAAATTGGGTTGGTTGGGGTGTAATACTAATAATAAGTGTTGCCTTTAATTTAATCAATAAAATAAATTGACTTCATTAATTTTTTTGAACCACCTCTTAAGAAAATCTAAAAAATATGAATGGAATGATAAATCACAAGTACAAACTCATCATATTTTTTGCATTTTAGATAGGATTTATTCAGCAAAATTTAAGGGTGACGTCATCAATTTTTTTAGGAGGGATGAACAAATACATTTTGAACAAAAGTTTACCATGCTTATAATAACTTTAAAATATTCCCAAGATTTCAAAGCATTCGGTTTTGTAATTCCTGATTAAATCGATAAAATAAATTCACGCCTTCATTAATTTTTTTGAGTCACCCTGCATATGCAAATCCAAAAATATGAATGGAATGATAAATCACAAGTACAGACTCATCATATTTTGTACATTTTAGATACGATTTATTCGGCAAACTTTTGAGCTGACGTCATCAGTTTTTTGTAGAAGATAACCAAATATATTTTGACTAAAAATTTATTATGCTCTTTATAACCTTAAAACATCTGCAAGATTTCAAAGCATTCGGTTTTGTAGTTCCTGATTAAATCAATAAAATAAATTTACGCATTCATTATTTTTTTTTGGGTCACCCTGTATATGCAAATCGAAAAAATTTGAATGGAATGATAAATCACAAGAAGAGACTCACCATATTTTGTACATTTTAGATAGGATTTTTTCAGCAAAATTTTGTGGTGACATCATAAATTTTTTAGGGGGGACGACCAAATACGTTTTGATCAAAAATTTACCATGCTTATGATAATTTTAAAATATCTTCAAGATTTCGAAGCATTCGGTTTTGTAGTTCCTGAGTAAATCAGTAAAATAAATTTACGCTTTCATTTATTTTCTTGAATCACCCTGTATATGCAAATCCAAAAAATATGAATGGAGTGATAGATCACAAGTACAGACTGATCATATTTTGTACATTTTAGATATGATTTATTCGGCAAATTTTCGAGCTGACGTCATCAAGTTTTTGGAGGGGATAAGCAAATATTTTTTGACTAAAGATTTATGATGCTCTTTATAGCCTTAAAACATCTGCAACATTTCAAAGCATTCTGGTTAGCAGATTAAAAATTAAATTTCAAAATGTTGTTTTATAATTTTGATTTTTTTTCCAAAAATCTGGACGTTTCGGGTGAAAAGTCGATTCAGAGTTGTAAACTACATGTGTAGGACTATGTTATTTTATACAATTGAAAACCCATTTACTATGTACAATTTTGAAGTGACGTCATCGCATTAGTGGTGGGGATGATTAGACAAATTTTGGTTAGCGTTTTACCATCTACATGATATTCTTAATATAAGTACAAAATTTCACAACAATCGGTCGAGTACTTTCGGAGATTATCTGTCTAATAAAAATCCGGGACGGCAGACGGACAGACGGACGGACAGACAGACGGACAGACGGACGGACAGACGGACAGACAGACGGAAATGGGAGACCTATTTCTTCGTCTTCTAGGGGTCATGAAAGATCGAGAAAACGTAAAAGTAGAGAGTCGGCCGACGGACTCGATTACAATACTTCCTTTGCTTACGCTCGGGAAGTAAAAAGCACCATTGTATGTTTTCTTTTCCAGTTTTTTGAGTCATAACCATCATAGAATCGCTTGAAAGTTCGCACATGGATAAAACATCACTTTTTACAGGGCGCAGAGTCATTAAATGTTTGTTAGTGGTACAATTTGTTTAAATAATAATGTGTTTATTAAAATCAAAATATACCACAAATTAATGCAAAATACGTCGAATAATTTTAACAGGAATATCAGAGGAAAATTAATGATCTATTGGTTAGCAGAGTTTTTAACAAAAACTAACAATTATTGAAAAAAATGGGTATCAATTCGACAAAATTTGAGCAGTTAGTTCAGTACTTTGCCGATAGGAGCGCCACTAAAATTTACGGAAGCGACTTTCCAGGGAAAACCCTTATCGCCTGCTCTACCATAAGCTGATTGTTAGAGTTCTTCTAGAGAGACTTTTACGCATAAAACCGAATTAAAACTGGGGAAGTATAATATTTTTATACTCCACTCAGGATCCTGAATTCAATACACATGATTACTAAAAATTCATTGTAATATTATTGTTAATATATATTTTGCTTTCTTAATTAATAAAACTAATAAACATATTTATAATAATAATAAAAAATATATAAAATACAGCTTTTGTTTAACACGTATAAGTAGCTAAGTGTATCTACTACTTATCCCAGAAACGAGGTGTTTTAAAAAAGCCCTACGCCCAGTAACTTCTCCCTTCATTGTTTACTCGAAAAAAGTGCTCGTATATGTTTTCATTTGCCGACAAATCATTTCCAAAATATATTTATAATAAAAATATGCAACTCTTGGTGATGAAAAATGTACTCCTAATAAATTATTAAAGTACATAAAAAAATAGAAACAAATTTTAGTTGTTTTAAAAAAATCTCTCGCAAAGGCAGGTTCTTCTTTTTTCTTGAATCAATTATTTCGGGCAATAATGCGCCAAAGTAAAATCTGCCAAGTTTATCTGCCATCTTTTTACATATTTCTTCGTCTTTATAATTTTTTTCTGTATTTAGTCCTTTGGGTGTCCATACAACAAAATAAACTTGTGAAATACCCGTAACAAGCATTTGTCTCTGGACTTGAAAGTAGTAATCATGATTTTTTTTTAGTTTCAATTCTCTGTATGTCAATGTACAAAATTTGATTATTTTTTTTCTAACCGCTTCTTCGGGAGACAAATCTTGCGATTTTGAAGGGCATTTAATTTCGACTAATGCACTCCTATCCTCTAGAACCCTGTCTGGACTAGCAGCCAAGTAAGGAAATTGTTTTGAAATAAAACAAGCCACACCGTTCAGTTTTTATATTTTTATTTATTTCAAAACACTTGGCAGCTTTTTCCTGACTTTGCTGTCCATAGTATGTATGACTATTACCTCTAAGTGTACTGTACAACAGAGACTCCGCAGTTTTAGCTATTGCTTTAGTCGGTCTAAGTTTGTAAATACGTCCAAAATTTGAAGCCGTAACCCTAATTTCTCTTTCTTTTGCCCAAATGTGCCTGTTGCCTAATGTCTATTTCAATTTGGTCTAAATTCAAAGATAATTTTCTCAAAAAAACCTCTTTGGCTGTCACAAATGTCTACATCCATGACAGGATTTTCTAAAAAATATTTAAACCATAATCGTAGTCGGGACCAGCATACGTAAATTTTTTTTTATTGATGACGTCAGCTCAAAAGTTTGCCGTATAATCCTAATTAAAATGTAATCTTCTTGTAATTTATCATTCCATTCATATTTTTTGGATTCGGATATACAGGGTGAAATCTACTGTGAAAAAAAACATAATAGGCATGCAGTCGTCACGTTTCCGGTAGCGAGGGAAGTACTGTCTAAACTCTTTAGACCAATTTTTTTTATTTTCCCATTTCTCCATTTCTCAATTTTTCAATGTTTCAGTTTGGGATTTTTTCACTGTTTCGATTCTTTAATTTTCCTTCCATTTTTAGGTTTTTCAATATTTCAGCTTTGGAATTTTGCAATATTTCGTTTCTTCAATTTTTCAAATTTTTGATATTGTTTTCTCGGTTTTTAGATTTTTCGATATTTTAATTTTTCAGTTTTTAAAGTTTTAGGTTTTTAGATTTCTCACTATCTCGACTTTTCGATTTTTCAGTTCCATGATTTTTG